TTTATTAACAGTGGAGGACTGTGAGTTCTTAAGCTGCTTTGCCTACCTGAAGGAGCCCTTTAAGAGTTACCACATCAGTACTGGCTATGTGTACTTTGGGTGCATGGGTGATGATCAAGGAAAGAAAATGAAAATTGCATTGATGAGGTGCTCCAAACGTCCTGATGTTCCTGGTGGTTCGTTGTCAGTTTCAAAAGATGCCATCTTGCTACTGAGACCCAAGGCTATTTTTTCTGTTGGTGCCTGCAGTGGTTTGAACAGCAAAAAGGTCAAGTTAGGAGATGTGGTTGTTTCAGCAAAGCTGATAACAGCTGCACACAAAACTCCCCCCAGCAGAGATATTGGTCACCTGATCAAACATGTGGCTGATGGGTGGAAAGCACCTTTACTAAATGCTGATGAATATAATCCTAAAGTGCACTGTGATGGAGTGGTTCTGAGTATCTCAGAGGCAAACAGAGATCTGATTAGGAAACATCCTGAAGCAATTGCAGTTGAAATGGAAGGTGGAGGTGAGAATCATAATAATTCAAATAATTGATGAGTGAAGAACTTTTGGACTTGAAGGAAGTGTTTTGGTGTTGTCTTTGCTGGCCCAAGAAATAGCATATACCATATAGCATGCCAATTTTGCAGGAGTTGTATATTGCATAATAAGAGTGATTTTATGTTTGGCTAGGGTTGGAAGATTTTTCTGCAAGTGAAAGTGACTGAGATGTCTTCTGGATAATGATATTGAATGTGCTCCATCAGCATGTCATGAATTGTCTTAAATTTGTCATCTGAAGAATGTAGAAAGTATTTTGTTAATTAGTTTGAGAGTTGAGGAATAGTATCACAGTCCCTGTTAACCCTGAAACTCCCATGAGTGACCAAGACAGAATTTCTCGTTGCAGTATTAATATGATGTAAAGCAGACAAATAATGGGAAAGGAACAAAGAAATGTCAATTAGAGGATTATTGGTTGATCCAAAACCAAATTCTCCTTACTAACAGCATATGAATTGTATGACAGACTTTAATGATAATTACTGAAGAGATTTTAGGAGTAAAAGATTAACTCTATCTGAAAAAAGTTTGTCTTTTGAGAAATGTTGAAAGTTACTTATGAAACAAGTTGAAGCCTGAAGAATAATGTTACAGTCTCACTGCACATTTTTTTTTCAAATTACTGGTTGAAAAAAATGAGATTTCAGTACTAATGTCTTTCTGCAATGTTCATGTTTACAAACAGCTAGAGTGTGAATGTTTGTAAGCTTTGATTGAACAATTATTTTAAGGATGCTAAAAAAATAAGCTTAATATATGGTTAACAGACATGAGTGTTTTTTTTCAGGAGTGTATGCTGCAGCTCATGATTTTAAGACAGAATGGGTGGTAGTCAAGGGCATCAAAGACTTTGCAGATGAAATGCAGTCTTCAAGTAAGAAATGGAAACAAATTGCCTGTGTGATGGCAGCATCTGTTGTGGCCAAAATTTTAAACAATCCAGTCATATTCCAAGATTGGCCTCACTTTAATGCAGGTACTGCTTCCTGTCTCAATCTTCTCTTTTTACAAGGATAGGTCTGACTTAGATCTACGTTCCCTCAGAATATTCTTTAATGGATTATAAATCAAGATGATTTATTTAGTGATTGTTCACAAATAGGAAATTAAGTTACCCTTATTTTGAGTTAACATACCAGTAGCTCAAACAAGGCCTCTAATTCTCCTTACTGTCTGCCAAATGATCCTCATTATGTTAGTTTGGAGAACTTGGTATCAGATCAATTAGTAGTCCCATAATTATAATTTACTTTATTCTAATCACTTGTCTGCATGATATAGATAAAGTAAGGAGAGAATCTGTCTTGGTCACTCATGGGAGTGGTGGTAGAAAAAAACTTGTGGTTTAATTGAGTGATGTAATGATGAATAACAATTCACTCCATGAGCCTGGTGAACTGGCCTGTTTTCTATAGTTACATTGGTTTATGTAACACCACCAAAATTTAGAAAATTCAAAGGCTAATGACATCTGCCAAAGTGATTTGAAGTGATTTGATATATGTTCCTGGGCCAATAAGCGACAAATCAAATTGTTGTAAACTAAAAAAAAATAGATTTATCCAGTACTACATGTGCGACTGTATTTTGATGGTGAAACTATTGGAATGGATAGGGAAGTGATAAATACCAGCACACATGTTTATGGTTCTATTTTTTGGTTGTTTTTTTAACCTTTTATGGAATTTGATGTAATATTAGTTTGAGAGGAATAAATCAGATTGTTAGGAAATTTTTTAAATAAATTGTTTAAAGAGACAACATTAATTATTTTGTTTATTATTTTGTTTATTATTTCATTTAGGTGCCAATGAATTATCCTCTCACGGTAAGTCCAACATGTTTTGATGAGTGTAATAATAGTGAACATGTGAATGGTAATGATTAAAAGTGAACTTATATGCCACTGTTTTAACTCTCATAATCAGATATTGTAATCAAATGTTGATCCAGGATATTTTTGAGAGAAGGGGGTCACAATTTTTGTTTAGAAAGACAGAAATTTTGTGTTTTTTCTGAAACCACAATAGGCCAAGACCTATATCTAGAAAAGTAATTGTTAAAAGCTTCATATTGGATAGTAATATGTGATCCTGTTGTTTCAAGAATTTGGGTGTCAGACAAGTAGATCCGATGGGACTGGGACCGGGACCTCTCGGAGGAGGGGGCCTTCCTCCCTAAACCACCACCGATTTTTAACCATTATAGGGTTCATGAATTGGGACTCTGACATCC